CGATCTATTGGTGCTTCTCGGACTGCCTTTAAGAAAAGATCTCTGAATACCGAAGCGTTTCATGCACCAATAAAAAGGAGCCCCACTAACCTTTACCGACCCAGAATTTCTACGGAAATGGTGGACAACAAAAATGCCCTCGTTTGCGTGGATGAATTTCCCTCCTCTAACGAGCATGGCAATAGCAGACGTTTTACGTCTGTCGCAAAAAAATTCCGACCTGGGTCTCCACCTGCTATTGTGAAATCACGCGGTAACAACCATAACTGCGGACCATTATCCACTCAAGGTGGTACCAGTTCCGCACGAGCTGAGAGGAAGCTGTTTGCAGCACTAACACAGTCATCACCGTCAAGTTCACTAACGACGCCTAGCGTACATGAAAAGTCTATACAATTGCTAGGTGTAGCTTTAATTGGCGTCGCGCTGTTGAAATCGAATGTCAAAGCAGCAAAGACCTACATACAAAACAAGGTTGCAATCATAGACCCACTGAAATCGCTCGACGAGATAACTGTGGACAAATTCGATGCCACATCAGCATCAAACCTTGCCCTTGTGCAAATATCCCCAATCGAATGGGTACACAAGACACAGCCCGATGTAGCAAGTTCCGCAGCGGAAACTACAACAACTGCGGGCGATGACGCACCCCGTATATGTGAAGCGTCCACTTCCGAGTCGTCTCCACGGGAAGAATCTTGTTCTACGGAATCCACAGCTACTCCATCGCATCTACCTTCAACGACCTCTGCTTCGGTGGACATTGATGGAACGCTTTGCGTGTATGTACTGATCTATATTAACAAGACTAGTTTCATTAGTAGAGACTAGAAACATTAGTTTCTCAGATTCGTAAATTTTTAATATTCAGATGTTACGCTTGTTACTACGATTGTTTGTCATTACTGAGACTTTAGCAGGTTGCATTGCGCTGTACATATGTGACATGTTACAGTAACAAAAGAGCTATCAAAGGTTCATTGTTTTGAAGAGCCTTTTCTATTAATAGACTTTTACTGCGGATGCTAGTGGCGGTAGACAACGCGATGAACAGCACTAAATCTGTTCGATATAAAAGAACTATAAACTGATCTATCTGTTTCATGTATAAAACGATTGTACTGTCGCATAATTTGTTAGTCAATAGGAAAAGATCCCGTGATGTAAACGAACACGCTCCAAGTCTCGACTTGAGAAGGAACTCTTTATGCCCCACGAGTTCAGTATAGACCGTCTAGTATTGTTGTGAAATAGAAGAAATCTGTTCCCCCACAAGTTTATCCCAGAAATCTCAAAGCAGTCTTGAAACACATAGTGCAGTTCCTGCAGGCCACAAAAGAAACTTCGAACCAGTCTTCGGTCTCTATGCTTAATAGAGCAATTGTTGCAGCTAGCTTGCGAATCAAAGCACAGTCTTTCTGTTCGATTCGAGAATTAAGCGATTCTTGGTGTCAGCTCGTCCATGGAGTTCCTAGACATACTTATCTCCCAATGGAACATGCAAAGGGAATAAGTTACGAATGCATAAAGGAGTATCGTACTTTGTTCTACTATGGGCGTAGGTGTGAACGAGTGCTGGTTTGCGATTAGCACCTAATTAGCGTTGACCTTTGACTTAACCTCCTCACCAAAGAACACCTAAACTATAGGCTTCTAGCTTGTAAGCTATTTTGCCAATACGCTTTGGGTTTAAGCACCTAAATTAGTGAAACGCAGCGTGTAGACGTGGTGTCTACCAATTATTCAACTCCGCGCAGTCGTGACAAGAAGGAGATCAGTGTCATATTTAAATGGCAACGAAAAACTGGCGATATATAAATACGTATTACCAAGTAGAATCTCATCATCCCTAGTCTTTTAACTTTTATCCACTGCACTGCTAGATTGTCAAGTTGGAAGAAAAGGAAACTGAATTTATAGTCTGTTGTTACATGCCACCCATGTGTAGCCTCAAATCTTCTATGCTCGCACTATAAATAAATCTGAGTAGATATAAACCTAAATAAAATTGTCAAAGTCGTTGGCACCTAAAATCCAAAGCTAAAAATCAAAGTAGAATTTCATACTGTATGCGGTCTCGGTCAAGTTTCTATGAAAACAATAGGACGTGTCCACGTACGGTGATCAAATGACTGATCTTAAACCTATTCCTATATATTGCATATTCGAATCTCGCTACTTCACTATGATGTGTTGAATTTTAGCGAATGTCACCGAGTGCCGTACGTGAAGGTCTCAACATGACGTGGACTAAAGATATGCACAAATCGTATTACTTATTATAAGTACCATTGCTTAATAATACAAAATAACCAAGTGTATACCGGTAAAAGCACAGTACATTATTATATTTATGAGCGTCGTGAAACAGTTTAGAACATTGGGTAATAAACATTTCAGCAGTCTCGGCAGTATCGGTATGCCGTTTGCAGGTGCTGAAGAGATCGCTCGATTCGAACGGAAAAACCGCCGAGCCACTGTCATCGAGGCCCTTAGCGAGGCCGAGGAAGCGTTACAGAACCCCGCTTCCGAGATCGAGTACCTTGTCGTTCTTCAAGAAAAACTTTCACGCTACCTTTATGAACTGACCCAAGCTGAGTTGGGCTATCGACACTTCATCAAAAAAGATCAGTTAGAGAACGAGCTTCAAATCCAACGTGCTCTCCAGGATCGTGGCACTGAAGCAACATGTCGGTTACAACTAAAGGTTGACTCGATGCGAAAAGACTGTTGTTCCTTACGCGAGAGCAAGGATGACGCAAAACTGAATAAGCTTATACGTTTGCTGAATCTCTCTTCGCCGAATCTGTCAGTTGTTGCCAGTAACGATAAGGAGAGACGGGAAAAGGACACAAATAAGGTGTGTTTATTAGAACAATACAGCCAAAGGGAATGCCATAAGAGTATTTCCAGGCAGGTGCATTCGCTTTCCTCAAATGACTGGTTCGCAAAGGCATTTCTTCCAGCTCACTATGTTTGCTGAATAGATACTTAAACGACTAACAGGGAATTTACCTGAATGTTTAAACATGCGAAGTCATACGATAAGGAGTCGTTGACAGAAAGCCACGTCGATCGAGAAGTTCAATGCGGTCACATTGCCGAGTCGCATAGAGTACAACTTGTGTCCTCGACAGCGAAGTCTGACGACGTAGGAGACAATATCGAAGAGGAAACAGTCAGCTGTGCTGGGGCTTATAGACCGCCTACGGAAGCACGGCATGAGTTATCGCGAGTTAACTGTTCCGACTGCTTCAAGCTCTTTACAAGGGACTTCACGCAATGCTGTCATAGTATCTACGAGTTCAGCATGGGTACCCAAAGTAAGATCAATCTGACTCACTACAATTTACCGTATTTCACATCGCTCAGCATAAAAAAGCTACACAGTAGGAAAAAGCAATCTCTTAATTGTGAAGGTAAAGTTTCGAAATAACCTTTGTCAGAATTTCGTAACCATCGTGAATTAACTGCAATTGTTGGCTTGAAAATTTTGTCCTGGTTAATCGTTACTGGATTCGGCCAAAACTAGTAAATGAACTTATGAGCAAATGAAACTTCAGATCTTTATTATGCCATAAACCTTTTCCTCTATTAAATTATTATATAAAATTTGGTATATATTCTGTTTGTGAAAGCCTTCACAAACAACGTGAAACAAGCTCGCCATTGGACAAATGCTAAAAGTCAGAAAGATCTTGCAAAAATCCTATAAGCGACCGAGTGGAATTCATTGCGTATTGCGTTAGAATGTAGATAAAAGATAATGTTATATCTAAAGCGCTATGCACTCGCCTTGAGCGTTACGGCACTGGCCGTAACGTGATTATAGAAAAACAACGAAAACGAATCACAAAATCCTTGCTTGGTTCTGCTGTATTGGCAAATTATAGAAATACCAAACGATTTTACCTTCTCATTGGACTGGTAGTAACAAATTAATAACTTCCAGAAAACAAGATAAAGGCAGAGGTCACGTAACTAAGTGCTTCCAATGCCAAAGCCACAGATTCCCGTATATGGATATCCCAACTTTGAGAGTAGTTTGCGAATTAGCGCTGGGATCTCTCCATGCTGTATATGAGACAATAAAAACCTTCACAATGGGGAGCAATTATGAAATGCTCTCGAGGTCGCTCACATACGCTGGAAGCTTGGGCTAGAGATGGACCCGAAGGTGGTCAAGCGCTGCGTCGCTGATGTCAGCGTCCACGTGTATACGACTCCACCCTGAACGTGATCTCGCATGATCAGGGTATCCTGACATGTTCACTGTAATCGACAGGAAGCTTTTAACTGATACGCCGCGTTCCGTTATTCTGTCCGTGGTTCAAGGACACGTTTCGTTGGTCATCTCTGTATGAATCGGTATATACTCATAGGAATTAGGGACACAAAGGGGCTTCTTAGGGTTATGAAGTTTAGACGATGAAATTGGCTACAAGCACAGAAATTTGCATGTGCACACATAGCTATGACTACGCATACCTATATATATATATATATATATATATATATATATATATAGAAGCAAGTATATGTAGCAACCGCCGACATTCGTCATTTATACGGCTTAAATGTTGTAACATAGTAAGCTACGCTAGATGTTGCCACTGTAAAACGCTATGTAAGAGCTTGCTACTAGTGAGAACGCGCTGCTGAGTTTCCATGGCCATCACAAAAATAGCCAAAAGCTTTAAAAGTACATTTATAGCATAGTGCATTGTTATGTATATGAAATATCGGTGTGTAGATCGAGCTTCATAGTGTTTGTGGTGAATTGAAAAAAAACATATTTGCCTCCACATATTGCACACCTCTATATAGTGAACAAATCATATGAGGAGGAACTCGATGGCGGGCACAATGTTGTACTTTCATTTTCACGATTGGATGCATAAGGCGCTGACCAACTTCGACTTCCAGAGAGAATGCGATTATAGCTAACTTTATGGTCTCACTTACAACTTCATGAACGTCAATGGGCCATATTACAGACACAATGATGCTGACAGCAGGCGGACGCTTCGTTAAGTACGCCCTGTTCTTGGCCAATCTCGCCATTCTTCTCGGGGGCATCGTCATGTTCTCCGTAGGAGCGTGGGCTTTTATAGACAGCAGCTTTATGGAAAGGCTGATCGGTAACGATCAGTTCATCACCTCTGCCGCCACCCTAATGGCGTCTGGCTGCGTTGTAGTTGTCGTTTCTCTACTCGGATGCCTTGGCGCCTTTAAAGAGATTCGCTGCCTCCTGATAGTCGTAAGTAGCTATTGGAACTACGATTGGACACATTGCATATTTCATAATTATATTACATTTGAGTCCCCCTGTGACAGAGCCACAATATACCCTTCTTAAGTTATAATTACCAATAGAAAGGAGCTCGGTAGCTAGTCGAAATAAGATGCCATCAGGAGCTGTGACAACTTTTCTATGTGGTTAAACGTCCTACATGATTAAAAATATCAGGTCAAAAAAGTGATCAAGATATTGTTACGTCAGAGCGGTGTCGAGTGTATTGGCGTCACGTTGGTTTATCACTAGCGATGCTGGTGGGGGCAGGTTTAGTTTTTTCGATTAGATAGTTGGCAGTTATGTCGCTCTTTGCGAGGATCGAATTCGATACATTTCAATCTCCCTGTGACTTAATATATAGTTCTGCGTAAGAACTACAACTTAACAGAAAATAACAAAGTTAGCAACATCGTTGACCAATGTAAGCCCCCTGCTTTTGAGTACGATTGTCTATCTCTGTTAACGGAAAGATCAATATTCTCAAATCATGAATTAATGTCGAGCGATTAGGCCAACATAACCTTGTCGTATAAACACAAAGGCAATATATTTGCTGGATATTTTATTCCGGAGGTAAGTGGTTGCTCTCGATCTTTGATGCAATTGTATATATCGATGCAAACAGCCTCAGATGTCGACTGCTAGGTTACAGGTTAAGGAGACGGCCAAAAAAACAAAGGTCGCCATCGACACACGCTGTTTAATAAATTGCTATTAGTAAATGTTATGTTATAATAATCTTCATCATAATTTACTCATATTATGATCAGATGCAATTTAAGTCAAAGGTAACATTTCGTCTGCTCGCCAGACAGCAGTCGATCAGTGTTAGGCAGATCTGTCAGGACAGATTATTTGGCCTACGTACCTCAAGTAAAGCAGGTTTGCAATGAATGAGAAAGCTAACGCACACAAAAATCTATTACAATTGAAATAACTTTACAGCGAAAAAAAACTCAACACCTAATTACGCTTAAATTTAATCCTAATCCTACCCATTTTGTCAGGTAAAATACTAGGTAAATAAGTGCGCTTGTTTCTATACTCGGCAGAAATTGACTTGGACGCGTTGTTTGCGAGGGTTCAGAAAGTGGCAAACTATTGACTAAAAGATGCCCCATTTGTCGTACCTTAACAGTCGTTCCAGTTCGCTGAGTAAATTTTTGTACAGGCCTTAGCGGGTCCTTAAGTTAACCAGCCATGACATTTCACCCTCTGTGGTAACTGCACTGATTTTTCTATTCCGTTGCAGCTTTCACAAATTATCTATCGTTGACCAAAGACCCAGTCACATCGTATTCGTTCATTTTCAAATCTAAATGGAAGGTAACGTAAATGCTCACTTGAAACACAGCCGGATATTTACTTCTTATGAGTAAAGCCTTATGTTAATTGCCTACATCGGACATTGTCCACAAAGCCTGGAAGGACTTAATATACGACAGCTGTAACCCCTAATCCTGACAGCAAACCGCTGCCAGGTCAAAGATGAACCGCTCGAATGAGAGACGCAAAAAAAATAGCAAGGCCGGGCAGATTTGTTGGGATACTGGCAGTTAATTTAATTTGAATGCACACTGATGACATGTTCGTCGTTCGAAAATATAAACCAAATCCAAATCGCACATAGCAGCAGTATACAGAGATCAACACTACCTAGCCAGCAGATCGAGTTCATCTTTTAACTACTCAGACGCAGGATTAGCAATGTCTAAACGATTCAAAATTATGGCTTTTGGTTCGGCTGTCAATGTCCTTCCAGTATTTCGTTCTCCTACTCGTGGTGTTCGTCACGATGGTGGTTGGAGGCATTGTGGGCTATGTATGTCGAGACGACGTCGACGAAAGCGTCTACCGCGCCATGTGGGCCTCCATCCCGTTGTACCATAACGACAGCACTGTGATGAAGGCATGGGATGAAATTCAACGAAATGTAAGTTTTGCTTCATATTACTCTAACGATTGTTAGCGATTAAGTTATTTGTTATTGCTACTTATTAGGTTGAATTTAAATAATCCTTCATAGCTCGCGGTGTTTCGCAACCGCTGTAGCCATAGATATCTAATTTTAAAGCAAATTTGATCGCTAGAACAACATGTAAACAATCTCGCTATGGGAAGAAACCGTACTTAGCCAATTTAGGCAAAAACACAACTAAGGAGAAAGTCTCATAAACGACAGAAATCCCCGTCAAGGAAGAACTCGTCAGTTACAATTCGCTTGCATAAACCAGTATAGCAAAATATACCCAAAAGCTGGCGGATAATCCGGACAATTAACAAAATTCACGCGGAATAAGCGACTCTAATAGCCAGATCGGATGGTAATGTACTTCGTAGCTATTCCATACTACTTTTCGTCTGCATCATTACTTGCTATGCAGTGTCTGAGCCTATTGCGCACCGATGCTAACCTCGACCGCAACGCATTCTAAATGAGTCAGCCATGATCTGACTGAGCTGATGATAATAAGGCTAGTAATGATCGCATCGCTAGTCAATTACGTTTTTTTGATTGTGTTTTCGTCGTTTGCCTATAGTTTAAGTGCTGCGGAATGCGAAACAGAGGAAGCCCTAAAGACGCGCCGAAGGATGCGTGGCGCAGAAATTCAAATTTCATCGGTACTAACATGAAGGTACCTGACTCCTGCTGTATCAGGATCGAATGGCTAGGCGGTTGTAGGAAGAACCCCACTTCGAGGGACACTTTCATGGCGGTACGTAGATTAGCAGCTCTAAGTACCGAAAAGCAGGTTACCATAGTTGTAATAGTAAGTAATGTATTCAGCTCGATATTAGCATGACAGTGAATTTTTGCCGCGCCCTATATGTTATCGAAGTTCTGAGGTGGAGGACAAGTTGAGCATATTGATGACTGATAAATGAATAGTATCCAGAATACTAGACATCGTGTCAACAACTCTCAGGGACAATGTGGAGATGGAATCCGGTGTACAATAAAGAAAAGAACTCCTAAGATCCTTCAGCCAGTGTTGAATCCGCGACTAAAGTGTTACCACATATAATTACTCTGACTCAATTTGATAGGACTGCCATACGAAGGTTCGAGACTTCATAAAGTCACACGCTTTGGCCCTGGGAGCTGTGGGGGTCGCCGTTGCCTGCTTAGTCCTGCTGGGAATGGCATTCTCGTGCGCTCTAATAATTATCATACGATAATAGGCAAACGGTATACATCGTCTGCGATATCCAGCAGTCAGCAAAGAGGTCTGAGCTAAAAAAAAAGCGAATACGGAAACTGTGCAAAGAAGATCTCATCGTGTTTGCCTTCGGAGCGAAGTTTCTACAAGGCTTCATCATCAAAGGTTCTTCCTTCGAACAAAACAACCTTACATCTAGTAGAAATCGTTGTATATCAATCGCTTTACTTGAATTCCGATACAACTATTGACAACTAGGCTAATAGTAAATGCGGATTTTCAGAACACTCACAGACACAAAGCTGAAATCAAGAACGCTCACCTTTCGGTGGACAAACGAGGAACGTACAATTCACAGATCGATAAACATTCTAGACAAAGCCAGCTAGAACTACACTAAGTATTCCCAGTACGTGCTTTTCTTAAGCTTTCTTGTTTATGTTTTCTTTTCTTTATTAGAGACGTTGATTATTGTCAAAGCACAAACACCAGCAATAAAAACAGCAACAAAAAGCTCGTGAGCAACTGTTCTGATGACTATTTACTGGAATAACAATTCGTACAACGATGTCATTTGTCGCCATGGAGAAACGGGGAAATGTTAGCCACTGATGACTTTGTATGAATACTGTATATCTAATGATTATTGAATGAGAGCTATGTGCACGCAATTGCGTCAAGCAAGATAACTTCATCAACGAGAAACGATGAGCTCCTTTACACATAGTCTATGCAATCACAACGGTGATAGTTATTGTTTTCATTAGAAACATTTAGCTATGTTATTTTACTCTATAATACAAAGTTGATGTAGATACGACGCAAAACAGTTATCGTCAATGGACACCTGGTGGCGTGGATCACAGTCAGGCATTCATAATAACAACCGTATCTAGCGCATTTGGATAATAAATTAGGTCGACTGATGGAAGTTTACATGTGTTTTTCATAAACAAAAATTGGACTAGATACCTTTCCATTGCGCTCAATGTGATTTATCCTCAAATGTTACTAAGTGTTTTCAAAGCTCTCATTGCTAGGCGAGAGATCTTTTAATCCACATCTGGCATCTTCTATATAAACATCGAAATAATAATAGGCCAGAGGCCTAGTTGTTGAGCCGAATCACGGATTGTGCTTCGTAAATATAAACGTATTCGACTTTTCCCATTAACCTCGTAGAAATGGAGAAGTACCGGAAAGAGAAACGACACGTCAGATATTCCTAATACCGAAATTTACAAATTTCTAGCGTAGATCCTTAAACTGTTTGCAAAAGATTTTAAAGTTCGTGCTATAAAAGAATTAAGATGCATTTTCTAATGGCATAGACTGTGGTGGTAGTTTTTTTTAACTACTTTTTGTCACGGTCGCTTGCCCGAGTCAACTATTTTATCGTGTGCACACGGAACTTCTAGTGACTACAAGTGGGTCAGGTCGCGATAGATGTCAACCCGTTTCTGTATCGGCCGCCGAATTGATTCACCGCTAAATGGATTGGTAAGGCGCGTGTTTTAGTCTCATCTGGTTCCATCTGGGAAAAGCTATTACGTCAATTTGTTGCTACGTATTATGTCTGCAAATATCCATACGGTGCGCAAGATCTGCTTTCTATGAACATGCTGTATATTGAGTGCAAAAATGTTCAAATAGCGCGCCGGAGTCGAACGCGCTATCGACGCGGTGAATTTCAATTCCTAACCCCATAGTTCCTTACTGCTTAATACATGTACTTTGTGCAGGTCGAAGTAGTTCTTATTGAACTAAAAGATCAAAATAACAATTCTTTAATTTGGCAGATTCTACTATACGTGTATTGGTATGCCTGAACTGTCCTGCATCTTAGAAAAAAGGGCCAACGCAGGGCAACTATCGCCCGCTTGTAGTCGTACGATATGGCATAGGATACATATGCAATGGATAAATCCGTCTAGTATAATGTACCTTACATGCTAATTGCTACTAATAGACGCCATGATCTATCTAGATTTGCATAGCTTTCGTTGAGCCAATGTAAAAATCTAGTTATCGATATTTCCAATTGATTGCCTATACATATTAACAAATGCATGTGTCGGAAGACACAGACAAGAGCATGCTCGGGACAACGCCGATACATGTACTATTTCTTCAATGCGCTTTGTTCTTATCAAAGCACTCTGTGCGATATATTGAGGCGCTCATCGGCCGTTACTCATTCCGTCGGTGACGTTTACTCTGTCGATGGCTTCGGCAGGGCAGTTGAATTATACTCATCGTCATTTCCAAATGAACACCCCGCCAGTTACCTGACGTCTTCGGAGCGTTTACGTGAAGCGAAATCAAGTAGGTGCCGTTATTTGCTATCCGGACCAAGTTCCGCTCAGCTACCCTTGAAGCGAATTACAGATTAGAGAATCTATAGATGAGAACAAAACACCACTGACCTATGGGGGCCTAGAGATGCCGCGGATGTCGTGACGTCCCAGCCAGCTGCGTCTTTGTTCCGCCATCACCGATACAGCGTTCCACGTCAGTACGGGCCTGCCATTAAGCTCCGGCCACTTCCAGCGTCACCCTGTAATCTAACGAACTGGCAAACTTACTCAGTCACTTTCTATGATATAAACATCTTTTTTTAATACCATATTATACTTGGACTGGCCTCGCTTCTTGCGGCGCGTTTGCTGTTGAAGTTATCATCGGTAAACTGTTTTGGTTTCATTATATATCACTGTAAGCGGATAGAGCACGAACCGTGTTTACCGACAGCGGTTCCAATCAAAATTGGCCTAACTTTTTGTTTGTAGTTGGTGATTCGAGGAGAAATATTTCAGGTGTTTGTGGACAATTACGTGAACTTACCTGCAATAGGCGTAAGGACGCATAAGCGAATAACCAGTGGTGCATTTTCCTGCTTCTAAAGACAACTCTAGGCTAGCTTTCTACAAAGGCATCGGAGTGTATCGTGCGTCTGACATCAGGATCGCTCTTAAGAAAGTTTCAGCGTACCTTAAGCAATAATAAAACCTAGCCTGGAGTAGAGTTGTGTGTCGGAAACTTTATCCACTTTCATTACTAAACCAAAATGGGCGCTTCGGAAGAAGCTCGTCGACTTGGCCGTAAAAGCGATTCCCCTGGCCATCTTGCTGGCTTAATTAAGTTTCTTCTCGTGCTGGTAAACTGTGTCGTCTTGTTGCTGGAAATGATTCTGATCGCAACAGCAATATATCTAACATCGGCCGATAAAACGCTCTTGATCAGTGGCCTAGGCCAGAAAGTGTACGAAACGTCCTTCGGAGCGATCATTGCTGGCGGCATTCTCATCATTCTGTTCACTGTCTTCGGCATCGTTGGCACTGTTCATGAAAACCGATGCTTTCTCATAGTTGTAAGTTTGTTTCAGGACCAGTATAATGAATAATATTATGCAGGCTAATTATGTAACTATCGTGCATAAACAAATAGCAAAAAAAAGGAGACTTCGATGCAAATCGCATTTTTTGCCCTAGGAGTTTGTAGCAAAAATAGCTGACGTAAACCGTGCTTCGATGCAAGTACGAACGTATTCGCAGCACTCACAAAAAAATCAGCCGCTTCCCGTACAGGGCTGATAACACCACAAGTCCCGTACAGCTGCAGGACTCCGTATGACCTACTACATGGTCTAGCTTTCTGGTAGACCAGTATCAACCGTAGAAAGGTTTTTTATTTACAAAAATATTATACTTTACAGAACAATGGTCCTTCACACACAATAGAATCTATGATAACTTTTGGCAAATGTACACGTTTTAATTTTTTTTAATAGCAACGTTCTACATTATCTTACGTATTTTGGAAAAAAGAAATTGAAAAAAACTATAATATGATTATATATATATATATGTCTGCTATCCTATTGTCTAGATCCGGAATAACGCATGTTTGTCCACGGATCGGACCCCTGGTTAAAAACTAGCAGAGTTCCTATTCAGATCTTTTACCACTTAAAGCCATTAACGTACCACTCGAACGGTGGAGTTATCATAGGCATAAAAATCCTGTCTAATACTACTGTATTAAAACATGGCGACCAATAAATTTCGTTTCTGACAAACGTGACGCATATGAACGAGATTTGATGCCGGGTTCAACCTCGTTACCGCGTTTGGGATTAAATTTGACACAGACCTCAGATAAGAGCTGTTCCCTGCCTTAGCGATCTATGAAACGCTGTCGATAATTGAAAGCCTTACTTAGATGTCAACATCTTTTTCAGACTTCCTATGATAATGGTGGCATTGGCAATACCTAGCATTTATAGTAGTCTTTTCAAGTAAGTTCTGATTCAGCCAGTAAATGAATGAAAATTTAATAAAAACTTAATTAATGAATAATTAGCTGAACAAAAATAAACCCATAGCATTTTGTGTGGAAACACCCCGGGGGGTGTGTGTAAAGAATTTATATGACTTTTTACATTATGACATTTAACGCTTTCGGAATTATTAGTGGTCTTGTCGTGTAAAAACATAATCATCATACAAACATACTTGATTATTACTTCTACTAGGAGCAGGATTAACAAAGAAAATATTTAGTCATATTGACTGGTTGTCACGAGGCCAGATAGAGACTGTCAATTGAAAATTTAAAATAAATTAATCCTCAGACCAAGTTGTTCTCAGTGCATCCATTGATATTTACAGTCTAGCGAGAAAAAAATGAATATGTATCCAGCGTATGTAACTTTAAGCATCTACCAGAATGCCAGCTAAGCTCAGTATCACCGCGGTAAAACTTCGGACACACGCTCAGTTACAAATCAGAATACTACTAAATCTCATATATTGAAAATCATTGGAAGAGAATATGTGACCAGAGACGTTTACGTTGCTGTGATAGCTCCCGTGCCCAGAATTGCGTAGCAATCGAAGCCTGCAGTAAAGGGCCTACATCAACAACCTTCAAACTGCCATAAACAAAGCAATCTATCAAAGGACCTATTTCCAGTCAACAGTGGCACATAGAGCCGATGAGCAATTCGCTTGTCGGCTTGAGTCCAACAGCCCGTTCGTAACGGGCTTAGGAAATTCAGCGCGACTGGGCGCTATATATTAACGGAAATTACACAATTGCAACAATCAGATGGTCACAGTTTCTGCACAAAGAACATACAATATGGCACAACAAGCGTGACAATACGTTCAGCGTTATCTCTTTCACTATCTATCTTCATAGATACATCTGCGGTCTATTGAAGTTAAAAAACCCTTGAAAATTATCCATTTTTCGGTGGAGACACTTTGTTGGTAGGAAGATTTCCGTAAAAACTATCTTCTTTCGCATTTTATCCAGAACTGGTTTATGAAACTAGTTAAGCTGCTGCTTCGGTCATCACTGACGCCGTAACACAGTTAAAAAGTTTATTTCAAACAGAATATGAATATATTGAAAATCAAAAAACAAACACGTCTTCGGAATAGGACTGACAAGCAACTACCGTCCAACATCTCGACGCTCAAGCAATTGCTCGCCACTTCCTCACCTAGGTTAGGTCGAGTCGTTCCAGGGTCCAGCCATTGTTATGCATTATCGGGCTACCGGTTTCGACTCTTTTTTTTTGTTCTTTAGTTCATTGTCAACGTTCGTATAGATACTCCTATAGCTTGATCTAAATATTGATCAAAATTCAAGTCGGCTAAACATTTTCAAGCAGCTTACTTCATTAATGCAAACAATCTATGATAACGTTTTCAGCACAGAGTAATATTACTGTTATTATTCGTTTGTTGTTATAATATGTTTGTCTTATTTTATAACATCTATTGACATTGTCCGGCAGCTGCTTAATAGCAGCACATTTGACGTCGGCGATGCAAGACCAGAGGAGGATATAGGACAAATAAAATTAGACTTAGTTGTCCTTTTGCAAAATTACGGTGCTTCTAATAAGAAGAGCAATAGTAACAGACTATAATTTATTGGCTTTTGTTCTAGTAGAAGCATTAGTCGTGTACCTGAATTGCATTTCAATAGAAGTTTAGAAGGTCTTACTTTTTCAGTTTTTGCGGCAGCAGCACGTGGAAAGCTTTTAGACTTACCTCTGTTTGTTGCTTTTGACTAGTCGTTGGAATGCTTATGTTATAAATTTTCCAGAAACACCTTGTCAGATTATCCATGCATTGATTCGAAGATCACCTAGTTAAAACTAAATAAAATTAAAAAAAAAAGCCCTTTTACTAATAAACTACTCTGCCAAAGTCAAAAATGTATTGCTCGAGTAGTTGGATCAGCCAAATTAATCATTCTTATTTGAGAGTAACATGATCAAATAGATATTCCTAGATATTGATGAATTCTGGAGGAGGCTAACGACTGTAATCAATCGTTTATTAACTATGAGCCTCTGCAAAGGTCGACAAAACTATTGAATTGGAAAATAACCCATGTGATTTACTACCGTTTCGCAGTACTTCAGTCTGATGTTTATGATCGTTATGGGTGAAGTGGGTGCCATTGCTTTCACTGTGAATAAAGTCGACTCACTGCGCGAACTCGTCAGGCACAACGTCTTCAAGAGCCTTAAGCTCTACGGAAGCAGTGTAACGATTACAAACGCATGGAGTCTCTTTCAAGCAGAGGTAATCAACTATCTTATTTGTTTAGCAAATATCAATAGAAAAAATAATAGGGCCATTTATAATAATAGACTCCGACTAATCTAGCACCTCTATTCTGCTCCACGTACTCACTTCGTAGTGACACTTCACTCTTCACGTGGAATAGGTCAGTCATAACGGTTACCTTAGTCGTTTCATTTTTTTTGTAAAACTCAACGTTCTATGCACAATGTTACTACTACGGTTATTATTATCATTGCAAGCATTCTCATAAACCCAGTAATTTTCTCATTAGTGAATTTAAATAATAAGAAATTAAGTACAGGTAAACTATGAATCGAATCTTCTCCAATAACGATTGCCATCTTGCACTCAGTTCACGTCTTGCGAAAATTTCGATGTAATGCCTGCGTTCTAAGTGCTCGTTAAGAATAGACTGAAGGGCAACAAAAACTAGTACCTCAGATGACCGAACGAGCATAACATTCTAGACGGTGATCCTGCGTTTTGCGACTTGTACCGCATGTTAAGGCTCGAAAGCCAATAGGGTCATCAAATACATTGAACAGGAACAGGCAAACAGAACCGAATTTATTTAGGTATTCTGTTTTTGAATATGAAATATATTATTCTTAGAAATCGTTATAGAATATTACACTAGTGACACATATAAAACATACTGTAAAACAACTAAGCATAGGTGGGGCACTGTGTACGTTTTAATGTTTCGTTAACACCCGTCCTCTATGTGAGATTGCTAATCCGACACAATCTAGAACAATTCACTTTGCATACCGTGATTTCAGGTCCTTTCTAAAAGGCCTCAACAGGGTTCGCCTAAGATGACTCTAAGTGACTTTAGTTACCCAACGATTTCCTTTAACAGCGCTCAAGAAAGTAATATCACATATTAGCACGTATGACTACGTTTGCACCCAATGAAAAGCGGCCAATGCGTCTGTCATTGAATGGCTTGGAGCTACCAGAATATGGAAATGCAAATGGTCGTTTACAGGTGAAATATGACATACAATTCAGCCATCAAGGCCGAACAATTCATATCGCTGCCAGCATCATTAACCTCAAAAACGCTGGAATATCTCTCTCTCTCTTTCTCTCTCTCGAACTGATTGCTCGTTTGTCCAGGAAGACTGCATCGTATGATTCCTATGAATGGTTTTCGATAAAATATGGTGATTCGTGCTCAAGAAAAAACCGTAGGAGAAGTACGAATTGGAGCTCCGTCTTCCTTGTCACGTTACTTGTTGTGGGTTTCTGGAACGGTCAACAATGACGCTGGAGAGAAAGTTGAAGGTTGCCGCCATTCTTAACTTATTCTTATCTATAGCCTCATTGTTTAGGTGAATGGCTTCCATCGCTAATTGTTTCCACATTATAGGTGTGTGAACGAGCATGCTTGGAACCGATGGTCTTCATAGAGCTAAATTTAAAACTGTGCTTTTAAGCGGATTTACGCTAACTTAGATCTGTATAAGTGTGTTACCCACATTGCCCTCTGTACTGTGGACAGCCACAATTCAGTTATGCCCCAAACTGCGTGCTGAATAAAGATATAATGTGCTCGACGTGACAACTATAAGAGTGCAATACATATGATACGTAATTTAAATAATGAGAGTATTGCTGCTTAGTCTTCGCGCGGCCAATGACCGTTGGTGCCTGCCGCAGCATTTTGCAATAGATTCGTTATTTTCCGCCTGTCATCGCAGTAATGCAGTGTCAACGTGTTCAGAAGAAAGTAAAAACAATGTAGGTTCAAATCTGATTGTAAAGACACTTTAACTCTTCAGTAAAAATTCGAGCAATAGGATAAGCTATAGTTGTTGTGGGGTCGTTTGGTCCCTTAGGTTGTCCATGTCGAGCCCCTACTCTGCCACGGTTTTAGCCACCGACAACAAAGTTTTTCGTAAGAGTAACACCTGATAGTTTGTGACAACCTTTTTTAATCTGCATTATTGAACTAAACGAAGTCAAACGATAACGATGCCTTGCTTGTTTTCTTCCACTTAGAGGTAACTTATACGTGGGATCGCCTTTTTCTCACCTCTCGAAGTGTCCATTCGTTCTGTAATGATTGTCCTACGGGAATTAGATGGAGTTACTAAATATTCCTTAGTTCCAGATTAGTAAAGGCGTAACTATAACCGAGGTGCAGCATTTTTCAAAGGTGGATCGATTCTTTTGGTGATTTCATATAAAAAAAAAAAACAAGGAACCAGAATCCTCATTTGTATATCCTCATATATACCGCAACGGGTACAAGTTTCGTATAGAATTCAAATTAATAATGCACTTGAAACATCCGCAACCTTCTCATTGGATAATAAGTATTCGTAAATTCACAGAATCAGTGCTGCGGTATGGCTGATCCTGACAATGCGTTGCAGCCACCGTGGAAAGCTTACGTACAATCAAAACATCTCAATGGAACATCGGTTCCTGACTCCTGCTGTGTGAGTCCTGAGCAGCATGAAGAGTGCCTAAAGGGAGTGACGAAGTCTATCTTTGATAAGGTATACCTAGCCATGATTGTCAGACTGAATATATACAAATATCTATCTAGAGTAAGGGACTTAGGTGACAACTGCTTTTTTTTGATGACGCTTAAAAATGTTTATTTTCTCACGACTCATCGAACGATTTAATTATCTGCGATATGACGAGACACCTTTAGGTTCTTGTACATATATATATATATATATATATATATATATATATATATATATAAGATTTAGAGATGTACTGTTTGCACTACGAGATACTGAACAGTTACATGTCACTCACAAACACTTTAGGTCAGGTTAAATATGTTAGAATAATAGAGGAGAAAGGTGAAGTTTGTCTTTCGATGATTGTATCTTCATTATGCCCTGCTCTTATAGTGATCGTTTAATTTTAGTCCTAGATGAACACGATTTGTTATTGCTCGACTCATTGCAGGATTGTTTTGAGGTGCTTAAGGATCTTCTGTCCAAGCATCAGACAATAATACTTGCGGTGGGTCTTTCAAGTCTATTTAGTACGGTGGTTGCCCTCTTTCTCACCGGAAGCTTCATTGTACTTCGTTAATTGCTTGATACGTGGCTGATCGGGCTCGTGGATCTACAGCGTCGTGAGGTGATTTAGAAGAGTAAGATGATTACCATCGTAGTGAAATGAACCAATGTTTTTATTGATTCAATTGATGACATCATAACAAAAGCGATGCCTAAACTCTAACTGGTGAGAGAAATTATATGTTATGATCGTTCCGCGTTGTGCTGTTATTTTTTTTATCTTTCTCCTTGTACGGGTCGTTTGAAAAGAACAGGATTATTAACATAATCATTAGGAAAAAAAACGCGCATCTTTGGGCATATCGCAAACTTTTGTTTTTAAACCTCTCTTCTACTCTTAAATACGAGTGGCATCCTGAGAAGTATTATTAATACTTAAACCTTCCAAAAAAGGACTATGTCTCTACTTTAGATGAAGAGTTGCAATATATGCTGGGTAGGCAAACACGACGCTGTACACGCTTGCTATTTCGTGCAAAATAAAGATGTATTTTCAATATTGGATTTAATTAATGTGTTATTTTTAAATATTAGAACAAACAACAGAACGCTCTTATCTATTTACGTCGATTAAATGATGCTAAATGACACGCGGTAGAGCACTTCATCCCTAACTTCAGTACAAAACGAAAAAGATATGTCGGTCTCGCATCTACAACTGTTCAGTGTAATATTGGTTTTGTTTCGTGCTGCATACGGACTCTTAGATTGTACGCACGCGATTGATTCAATAAAGTTTCTAGTTGCGGATTTGGTTTAAGAACTCGTACTGCTGACTGATGTTCCTCGATCACAAGCTTGTCATGGCCCTAGGCAATGATTTTTTGCGTAGAGGTCTTCGAGAGCTGTTCGCGTTTGAGAGAAATATAAAGAGCGTCCTGTGCGTGACGTAACCAAATCAATAGATTGTTTTCTATTTCACAGCTCTGCTACCAAGGTAACGCCCGTCCTATTTATTTCACATAATGGCCTAGATTGCTCGAACATCACATTTAGATCATTACATGCCTAATGCACTAATTCGCCGCATACAAGACGGCGTTTCGAAAAGGCCTGATTAGTTAGCGCGGGGCTCAGCGTCCCCGATTCCTCTGGAGTAGCAGTCTACGCGATTCACCACGTTTCCGTGGCAACGCTGGGTCCTCTCTAGACCTACTCCTGTTCGCGGATCTGGATAGAAGTGGGTTATTACAGAGCAGCCTGCTATAGCCCAAGCCTGTCGAGTTCACAAATCGCGTTGCTCCCCTTTTGGGCATATTATTTTTTTGAATAGAATTCGTATTGTGAGCGAAGGGACCTGTTGGACAAAGCAACATAGACGAATTCAGCAAAGAGTCGGTAATCTTGCAGTGTACTGAATATTTTAGCAGGCATCAAAAACGGTAAGTGATCATGAGTAATAACATCAGGTACTGTTAATGCCGAAGCTGAAACTGTGCGTTCTTTAATAGCCTGTTGTGAAATTTAGAGTACAAGTGATGTAGTATTAGGATGCCCGTATGGAAGGTTGACGATTAGGGCTGAACCCGTAGGAGGTGTGACCAACATGTGAGGTATTTGTTTAAATATTGACATAAACAGACCTGGCAATTTGCAAAAAAGAAAGTAAAAGATTATCGTGTTTAACTAACATTGGTTTTTAATCAAATCGTAAATTACAAAATGATAGAGATCTTCGAACTGATAAAATAGCATTTTTATCCAGTCTGTCCGTCAGATCTGTACTACAACCATTGTTAATCTAAGCAACACTACTACTTACACACAAATACACAGAACAAAGTCATAGTTTGCAACACTCCCGTTGCTAATTCGAAGGCTAATTGACTTCTGTGTGAAATATACTAATTAATGACTGTTAAATGGAACACTGTTGCCATACGCATCCTTCGAGTTTAGACGAAACGATGCGCCTGAAAAGCGTCCTGCTAAATGGTATCATACACGAAGGTGGATGTTCGGGCGTCGCGTGGCGGGGGGACGCCAGCCTCGTGTCATGCGGTGAAGATCATACGATTCGCTACCTCAGACCTGATCTGGATAAAACCGCTCAGGAAGAACGAAGGTTCGCAAAAGAAATCTTTCTACTATTAATTAATCAGCTAACATTTACAATGAGCCTATGGCGAAATGGGCGCGGACGCGCAATACAAACGAAGAGAAAAGACAATGGTGTAAGAGAATTAAACACTGTCAGGTTTGCAGATGACGTCTATCCAACGGGTATTTTCGCCGTTCCATCGGCGCAAAAAACTGAGATTGTTCTTATTACCTGTTCAGATGGTAAGTTGCGCTCTACTGTTTCCTTACGGCCTTCATCTATGCATAGTATTATAATAACGTGTTAAGGACTTATTCAAAATAAGCTTTTTCTAACACACAAACGGGACCAGTATAGGTTTTCGGATAAGGAATCACTCAGAGAAAAAGTGTTTCTCGCTGGTATTTCATATTCACATTTAAGGGAAATATCGATTAGCAGCAAAGGCGAATCAGCGAGTGATCGAGGCCCATACGGGCGCGATATTAAGCGCAGGATGGAGTCACGACGGAACGATGCTAGCGACTGCTGGTGAGGATGGCCTCCTTCGTCTCTGGATGAGGAATGGCGCCTTTAAAGCCAACCTTGCAGAACACGGTACACAACATGGCATGATATCCGAGCCGAAACGTTCGGAGCATCTTTTCATTCGTATTTTCCTAGGGCTACCGTGCAACATGGAGGGCCTATTATAGCGTAGCGAAGTCCTCGCGATCAGCAAATCTATTTTTTGATTTTCTCAAGCAGTTCAACTTATGCGTGTTAAGTGGAACTCTGGACAAATAGAGCTGTTTGCTTTTATCAGCCATCTAAAGAAGTTTAAAGAGTGTACAACATGGTGAGTCAACTCACATAAGGTAATAGGAGAACGCAACGAGCCTAAGCTTCGGGTGATTTAAGTAATTTATAGCTCTGTATGCCATGTATTAGCCTTCAAAATACTTCTTTTCGTTCTCAGACTCGCCAGTAACATGCGTTTGCTGGAGCGTTATCGCCGACGAACTTGTCTATTCGGTGGCTGATTCAGTCTACGCCCGCTCGTTAACGGAAGGACGTCAGGCCCGTCTCTGGAAGGCCCATCCGGGTGCAACAGTTACCACCGTAGCATTGAGCATAGATGGAATAATCGTTTCTGGTAACTGTGTTAAACCGTATCTGTTTATCGTGAAAAGCGTTCGAAAATTAAACCAGAGCTTCCCTTTTCTACTACAAAATATGGCTGTGCGTATATATTTAGCCAGCTCAATTTGCTGGAAAGCACAAAAGTAATAACAAAATGCCGTAGCTTCTTTGATAGAGAACTGGACGTGGAAACGTGAATCTATGATTTGATTTTTTTTGCAATGCTTTGCAGGCGGCGAGGATTGCCGATTCAAGTTGTGGGATTTTAATACCGGCAAGAATTTGTTCTCAGGCAACCAGTTATCGCAGCCTATCAGCGTCGTTGCTTGGGCTCCAAGTGGGGAGATCTTTGCGGTGGCTTCCTTTGAAACACTTACCTTGTGTCACAAGTCAGGCGTAAGGATACAACTCATTGAAGATATAGACTAGCCATTTTGTTAGGGGTTACGCTATATATGTTACTCGTTCAAAACCATAACATTTACAGTACGTTTTATCAACGGATTATCCCGCATGTGCAACCATCCGGGCATTGTGCTGGAGTGACTGCGGGACGCAACTAGCTGGCGCATGCTCAAGTGGACATCTACTCATCGCGCACCTCGTCGATCGTACACTTGAGTGGAATAACTTTGAGGTTCGATACGAAACGAATTAGCACAGTTAGCGTTGTCCTGAAATCAAAGCTTGCAGGACTCTCTCAATGGCATTTATAGGTAGTTAACGCGGATGCTGAAATACGCGTCCAACGCTAACCATAGCTTCATCAAAAATGAAATATATAATAATGGCGATAATACATGCGTTGGAATTTTTCCAGCGGCTAGATTCAATTTGTTCACTTTCAGTTTTACTAATAGGTGTCGACTGTTGGCACAAAATTGTGCCTAGTTACCGACGTCAACATGGAACAAGGCATCCGAGAAGAACTGACATTTCAGGTTCGTTAAACACGACGTTTTCTACAAATGTTACGATACAATTATTAACGAAATGTTGCACCGTATGAGCCTATATTTTTCAAGAACGTTGCAATAAATGAAGCTTTTTTTTGTTACGTTTAAAAATAATGGGATTGCTCACTTGAAACTATCCACCAACAATAGTCTAAACGGGTTTGCTGCAATGCAAGTTATCTAAATGAATAAATTCTTCTTAAGGCCTGCGCATTTTTTACACTTCACCGTAGGGCCAGAGTGCGGGCACAATGAGTTTCCGCCATGGAGTCCTGGTCGTAGCGACAAATGGGGGCGTTTTCGTCTTTGGCGGTGCAGGACAGTGGCACAGACCAGCCCTTATACGACCTTCAGTGACCTCTCCGGTTAGATGCATTCGCCAGAGTAAAGGGCATCTCGCGCTCGTTGACAGTTCTGCGATTCACATCTACGCTAACAACGGTACGAGGGCAGGGAGCATGGATAGACCTAGAAAAAAAATCCGGACTGAACGAGAAATCGTAATATATGGTCACAATCTGTCACGTATGTACACTGGTGCCATTGTAGTTAAAAACCAATCAGAAATTGAATGAATTGTCAACCTAAATCTTATAGCTACAATGTCAAACTTTTTCCATCTAATGATGAACTTACGCGTCATTGCAGGCAAACATACGTGTACCGTTCGTCATCCGTTCCTTCGTGCGAACATTGTCCGACTCTTCGATCTGAATGACGAGGTGGTTCTGATGGCTGATAAACGGTCGATTCAATTCTTCAATATTAGCACTGGAAAGCAGTTAGCCACACCTTTCAGGCATGAGGTTAGATGGCACACCACTATGACTTATAACTAAGAAAAGCAATAGGAGAGTGTCATAATGGAAAAAAAAAGTAAACATAAAATTAGATCCGACCTATTTTGTTCATAGCTATATGTAAATATCAGCAACTTTAGGAAAATGTATAATGTTTTGTAACTATTCAAAGATGTACAGTTCCTTTTATCCCTGAAAACTTCTAGAAAGCATAGTTTCCTTTGAATAGTCTGAACAGCTAAGTGACGGTCTCTTCTGATATTTACCAAAACGACTTGTCAATTGTGGAAGAACTTTATGCTATTATAAATAAAAGGAATCGTTTCGTTGGGTGTTTTTAAATTCACGTTTCGTTAAAATACGATATCGAGGACAAACTGAAAAAGACAACGAGTTGTTAGTTTTAGTAGTTGTAGTAAGTTAAGTCCTTTCAGCTTTCAGTTTTCTGTAGAGAACCATTTACAGCCCTTTCGTACGGGGCGGCGTAGTCTGGGTGGCCAATACACGTTTCACTCAGTAGATTGATTGCCACAGTAAGTAACGGGATTGGAAGCACGCGATGGAAGATCACGTAAAAGTTGACTAGATAGTGCGAATGTTCATCATAAGTATTCTCACTTGTACCTAAAAAAATGCATCAAACAGTGGGCCATAACAATCAATATATCATTAACGTAAAATGGAAGCTTTACGTAGCGTCTGTCTAATACAATTGAAACATAAACCCAGATGGTCGAAATATGTTTAGTAGCTAATAGTTCACTCCTCGAAGCGTTTATTTGCGGAAATCATCTGGCACTAACATGTGAAATAAATCAATGTTCAAATCAAATAGTTCTTAAAAATCAAGGCTTTATTCTATAAATAGAAACCGCACCTAATTGTGTCATCATCTCCTACAGAGAGAAATACGAGAGGTTACCGTTGAACAGAAAAGTTGGCCAGATACGCTTTCGGGAGGCGAGCAACTGCTGAGCTTCATTGACTCTCAGGGACAGCTTTATCTAGTCTGCCTTCGTGGGAAGCAGGCATATGCCTCGTTTGTTGGTAAGGCTAGGCGCAGCTCGTTCGCTATAAGTAGGACGGGCGGACAAAGCCTAAAAGTCTACTCAGCTGCGTGTCAGTAAAAAAATTGTTTTCTTTTTTTTTTTTTAAATAAAACCAAAAAACATGATGTATAAAGCATCAGCAGCACCTTAACAATGATCTACCCCTCGAAAAGAAATTCAGTCAAGTTAACGTTCAAACTTTCTCAGAATCCTTCAAGTACTTCCTCTTATCCTGAAATACAAGTAGGAAGAAACGAAGCTCACTGTAGAACCTTGATAATTACAATTTTTTTCGTATGTTGAAAATTCATAGAATCGCAGGTGTTAAATACAATATGGAGCGAAACTTCTCGTCAGCTGGCTGCCATACGTGAGTCCCAGTTGTTACTATGGGAATGTCCATGGGCGTTCAACGTCGCCCCAAAATTACTGGACTCGTGCCGGCACACATTTCCTCAAGCAGACATTGGCCTGGCAGGCGTATTCGGCTACTTTATAGGAACCCTACTATCAGTTCGAGCTACGAATGGAGCCATGCATGCACAGGCTATTTCCCCATACAGCGAGAAAATTGAGAAAGCTGTTGATAGCGGACAATGGGACGCTGCTTTAAAACTCGCACGATTTTCTGACGTCAGTATATATCGTTTGGAGATCATGTCCTATTGTAAAAATGAATATGGTTTTTTTTTGGACGGACCCCACACCATGTACTGGAAATAGCATGTTAGCATACATGTTCAAATATGCAAAACTATTCGAGTATTATACTGGAGTTTAATCGATTACATCGGTGCTGTGAATCGTGCCGTTGCAGACAAACGAGGTATGGTGTACTTTAGCTTGCATAGCGCTCCTTGGGCGGCAGCTTAAGGTTTCGCGGGACGCCTTCACTGCACTTGGGCAGGTAAACACATGAACGTAAGACGACAGTTCCAGTTTGATTGCTTCAGCCTATGGTTTATCATAGCTACCGATAGCGACAGGTTACGTACTACTTAGTACGGCTCCGGAAAGCCGGAAAGACAACTGAAAGTAGTAAAAGCATGTAAGGCTTTCAATTTGAACCTAGAATTTATCTAACACAAGGTCTAATATAGGTGTGGCTGTGGCACACGATTTGATTACAGAAAATGGCATTGTATCGGTATTAATCATATTCGAAGTATGAAATATTTTATGCCGAGAGAAATATCGCATATATTTCTAAGATATTATTATATGTGAATGTACGCGTACCCTTCTCAATTAATTAGCGAAGCAAAAAAAGGACAAATTATTTCAAATTCCGTACAACTAGTCTGCTTGATGCTTACTAAAATAGACGTCATTGAGATCATTGTGCTCACCTTTTATCGATCCTTCAGGTCGATCGTGCAGAATATATCGATAAAGTTCGTGAACAGGGAGGTCAAATGGAAGGTCTACTTGTCCAGCTGCTCATTACCGGTCCGTATGCATGTTTACAGCCCCATTGCGGTCAGACTGCCAAGACCAATACGCAGCATGAAGACTAGTACATTTGTAGCGCTAATAAGTATCCTTCTGGTCCGGTAGAGACCCCAAATTCTATTTTGGGATTGATTATACCACATGCATATTATTCTCGAATTGATTTAAACACAATCTGCGTAGTATATTGATCTGGTTCACACTGCAGTTTCTTCACTATCGAAATGTTCTGTTTGTGCCTATGTACGTTTTTCGTTAGAAGCACTCGTTCTAGAACGTAAGCAAGACGGGATGCGTTTTGGGCCCCGGAGCAGAAGGGGTCCAACGAAAGCATTTAGGTGCATGCGGAACGCCCGAAGGGCGAGGCGAACTGTAGAGCAGTTGCAAAGAATTGCTGTTTGTTTGCGTGGACGGTACATGAAGCATTAATTTTTTTTGTATTTTTTTTTTTTTTTTTTTGATGATCTTGTAGGCGGCCGATCACGACAACAGGTCGAAAGTCAAATGATTCAAATAGGAAAACTGCTTGATGCCATCATGCTCAACGTGTATGCCCACCAATGGGACAGGTGAGAAGAAAACGCATTTTAGAGATACTTGTTTTGCCATAGCGATAGCGAATTCTTAAAAAGTGTTTTCTTTTTGTTTGTAGAGCGTTATCGTTGGCAATAAAGCACAATGTTCACATCGATGTTGTTCTTGCATACCGAAAGAAATTCCTCGAACGATTCAACAAAGCTGAAGATGAAGCAATTTTTATAGAAACCAGTAAAAAGGTGAGTTAATGATGCAGTTCGTCATTGGCGTCAGTTTGTCGAGAGAAGCAGACTTGTAATTAATCAGTGTCACAGATGAGAGGTTTTTAAATAATATTAACATTTTTTGTTTTAACTATTTCAGTACAAAGCCGACGACGTGGACTACATAAAAATACGCGAGATGGTGTCGCAGCAGAGCGTCGTTGAACTTTAAGTTAACTTTTTCCCTCTAATAGTATTACTACATTGGCCGCTGTTTTTTGGAAAATAGTCATTTACACACAAAGAAATATCTGGCCTTACTGGACATTTCCGTCTGAAGAAAATTCCGGTAAAAGTGTTTACCTGTGTTTTTACTGCGATCACAAGAGTGAATCGGTCCCATGTCATAACTCGAGAAGCTAATAAAAACTTCTAGTGGTTGGAAACCTAACGTACCAATATTGCTTATAAATTGATTGCGGCAAAGGTATTTTAACCATGCCTGATAATTGTTGTCTTACCGGAGAAAGGGTTATAACTATCTTCTATATATTCTACATAATATATAGTAAATTCTATTCAAAATTGGAGTCTAATCCCAATAAGAATCCAGTACAGTATATATCTGAGCCACAGTGCCTCGAAACCGATCGCTAGCTAGGTGATAACACCAGAAAGAAATAAATGTAAAAGAACCACGATATTTGTTGCTTAGAGATCCTTTTCGTGGGCGGTAAGCAGAGATCCGTGTCTAATGCCCCAGCGACGAGTTTGCGATGAATTTGTTTCGCCCCGATGCATTTGTTTCGCATTAAAGAAAAGAACGCTTAATACTGAGATGAAAATCTCTGTAATCTTGTGTAGGGCATTCGAACTCGTGTATAATCTTCACCTTTATTATCTTCGCAGAATAATTAACAGATAATGAACTGCTATAAGTGACAGCCATAAATGAATCCGCAGTGAAAAAAACATAACCTACATATATTTTATTTTGGAATTGGTGAACGGGATGTTTTTCTAGGCGGCGAATGTTACTTGCGTTTACCGGAGCTCGTACTGTTCGTTTATACCTCCTTAGAAATACCATGGTGTATCTATAGCTAAATTATTGCAATGAAGCTGGATAAACTAATTAGTGATATAGATAAAGTAGGTCGATTAACGACTCAACCCAAACAGATATATGTTGACCCTATACAAACAGCTAACGCACTCAAGCTTTTTGATGTCTACCAGAACTGCATTATATAAATACCGGTATGTTAGAAAAGCAGTATCTATAGTTTCAGTTCATTACTAATCAAGAGCTACGCTCCCTAGGGGCCAGTGTCTGCAGCGTTGCCCTCCATCAAAGCAGGCAGATGCGATAGGTAGATTAATAAAAAAAAAAAAAAATACTTTTTTTGCTTTCTATAACGCAGTAATATTAGTTGATGGTCTTCAATGCCTCCTTACCATTAATCTAGTTCCTATTGCCATCACTATTTATATACGATTGGTAATGAAGGACTCCCGCGCCGAGCTATAAGATTTCATGTGCCATAAGGCCGCATATTCCGAAATGCCCCCAGATCATCTTACCTTCTCTCGTGCTACCTACTTGCACGTATCGCGTTACTTGCAGCCTCTTAACTCGTGAAGCCCGATATGATTCCAGTCAGTTTGTAATTTGCAGACGATTTGGCCTACGACAAAACACTTTTGAATTGTTACTGACTTTATGGCTTTGTTGTGAATATCGGCGCCTAAAGCTGAACAGACGATAAAGGCCTTGATAAGATTTACGAAATGTGTTTAATGTTCTAAACCCGAATAATCATTGCGAGAACACGCTCTCAGTAGCCCAGTTGACGTAGGAAATGCATTTAGCTAACCTTGAACGTCGACAAGATATCCTTCGACGATAGACTGAAATACGCCAGGCAGGATTCGCGCTTGCTTCAAATGTTCACGTATGGTTAGTATAAGGTTAGTACTGAAAGTAGTAAAAGTTAATGCACAGTATTCAGTACTTGTTCTATGAGGATTATAGTAAATAATCTATTCTTTGTTATGTTATTGATACACTGGCTCATTTCGTAAGTTCCCTAAACAGGGCAGCAAAATGTTATTGCCAGTATATGTGTACCAGTATTTCAGTGCCAGTACACCATCTCGTGACAGGTGAAATCGACGTCGCACGTAAATCTGCCTTATTAAGGACACACCAACAGAGCTCAAATCTAAACGCAAGAAATTTACGCAACGACAGTTCCATTGGCGACTCTAGCTAGGGCATGACAAGGTGTTACTTCTATTAGTTGTTGTTTGGATTGTTATGGTTGCATTGCTCTACCAGGTACTACAGAGAAGGCTTCATACACTCCTCATTTGAACCAGCTCGTCTCCTTGCAGGACTTCAGCGACAACTCTTCTTTTAAAATGCATCCTCCCAAATCATATTGGATTTATGACGTTCTGTTCCTTTTACTATAGCACAAATTGCGATCTGCATTTTCTCATACCCAGCGACGACAGTGCAGTCAAGACGCAGGTGCACCTATTAGAATACTAGCAAAAAATTGTTAATCGCCCAGACCCTTAAGATATAGCTTGAAAGGGTGACAGTATTGTACTATAGCAGTTATAAGGACATCCAGTGCGGTACAGATCGACAAAAATTAAAGAATGAAAAGCAGAGGTTATAGTGCGCCTGTGAGCCTGTTTATCTTTGCCTAGTTGGCAATAGCAAATTATTTGCTTACCGAACTCTATGGCTTTTTTGACTGTTGATGGCTACCGGGTTCCTACTTGCCTTTCATGTTGTCAAGAATTGTTGCCCAAAGCTGTGAGCCGCATGACTATAACCAGTTTATGATACGTTGTCATAAACAGCATAAAAACTGGGTGTTTCGCTCATCACTGATTCAATTTGCAAAAAATTTAACGACACGAAATTACAATACTGCTATATACTTACGGTTACGGCTTGCGTGCTAGTCATACTCCATGTCTAGTCGATATTTGTATATCAACGAATGCATAGCCAAAATTGGGTCAACGTTTATCAGATTATTTGATTTGTCTCTATCGCTTCCCTGATTAGGGTTGGGACGAAAATTAGTTTCCTTTTACATAGAGTGTATGTCCGAGATTCCGTTGTTCTCTTGATTGGACATACGTTTCTCTCAGATACATCGGTTTCAATCTCGTAGATCTTGTGACGTTGGATACGATGGCGCAGGGGTTAGACTTTTTAGAAGCAGTGTTTAGAATATTCCATATTTTATACATTGTTTTTTTTGAAAGAGAGGAAACAGGGCCTTTTTTCAGCGGATTCTAGCACTACAAGATGGTTTTTTTCACAAAATTTCTTATACTTTTTATGCTAAATAACAATGTGACTCTTGGCCAACCTAGGAGAAGCTCAACAAGAGTTTATAGACGTTAAATCGAAGATACGTCGACAATACGATATTTGACATTAATGTAAATATACAGTAACTTTATTTACAAAGGCTCACTGCTTAACTGACAAAAACAGGTAGAACATATTGAAACACAGAATTTGATAACTAATCTTGCAAGAAATTTCACAAAATAACCCCTGAAACTGCCAATTTCTACTTCCGCTCCGGCACTTAAAGCCGACCAGATGCGTTCAAACTGTAGAGAACGTATGGCCAGTGACGATCTAGCGGATGTCTGTATACTTTTGGCCGCATTGTTTTGAATGTATTCCGTACATTATTTACAGCTACCGAGAGCGCGTTGAAAGCTACCCTCTTTTCTTTAGTCTCAAATTCGTAAAATCAATGCTAGAAGAATGAAATAGAGAGACCAAAATCTGTCAGTGAGCGTACATAATTTGTATGATTACTATAATGGAAATAAATAATACGTTTGGTCGTTTATTTGGCTGCAAATTAGATTGCGTTTGCTATATTGTTTATCGGAAAAAAATGTTCTCGCTCAACCCATATATACTGGCAAGCTCTCCTTTGTGTCGGCTGCAACCATATATATATATATGAGGGTCATCAACTTAAATCACGAACTGTTCGAGTGATCGTTGTATAAACAATCAAATATTAGAGGAAACCAGTCCTAGATGTAGCTGATATTATCATGTAGAACAGCCTCATTCCATATTAAAGGCGTTACCGCCAAGCAAGCAATAGAAAGGTTTTGTCGAATCCTAAAGGTCCGTGAGAAACACCATAAAACCTATCCTCGGTTATCCGTCGTTCTGCGTTCTCGCGCCATGTCCACAGGCTATTCATTAGTTTACTCCTAGGGATCGCTGGCGTGCTTGGAACAAACAAGCAATCGATGGCTACTTTGTATTTACCTGAGAGTTCAATAGAAATCCAGACATGGTAAACCTTTAGTCAAAGCGATTTGCTCATACGATTCCCTTACCACGACCGTGTCCTGCTACCTGGCAAAAGCAAAATATCGAACGATTGAGAACTCCGTATCTCTCATTAATATTAGACCCCTTGTAGTTGCTGCGAAGGGAAATCTCGTAACCAATCTTATTTGATTAAGACTCGGCCCACGTTATGGCTCCATAATTCATCCGGTTCATTTAGATAAAACACACACTGATAATGGCGTACAAGAGAAAAACACTGTTGTCAAAGCTCTCTTCGCCAGCGAGCTTCCTGGCTAAGAGTCAATACTTGTAAACTCTGAGGACTTTTTGTCTCAGAAACACAGTAGCAGCGTGACTTTTACATACTCACCACGACCACAAGAACCGCATTGAATCGCCTGATTATTATTCAAACGTTCAAATCGTTTTCGAAGTTAACATGGAGAACGAAGAAACCAAGAGAGCTCCAAGTCCGCTAAAAGTCAACGTCACGAAAAAACTCCACCCTCCGGCATCTGCAATTCCACTGGTCCAAAATAGAGAAGAGGTATACACCTGCACATGATAAGCTTACGATGAAGTTCATTGAAGTATGCCTAGCATCGGTGTTTTTGAATACTGTTAAAGGCTATATAACGGTACCCTATTATGATTAGAAATATGGTGGTTTCGGTAAGCATGAGATAAGGTGGAAACGCATTTGTGAACGTAGATGACTAGCTTAAAAGTTTTCTTTAACCTCTGACTAAAACGTGTACGGTTAAGACACAGCGCTAAGGAAAGCGTGAACGACAGGTTCTGGAATAACTCCTTTTATTCTACCATCCCTCACGTTTCTATTCTATTCTATAGCAAGCGCGTATAGACTCATAATTTGTCGTCAAAATAATTTTCATTTATCGAGAGCAGTGCTAGTTCGATGAGGTTATCTTCAGTTCTCGACCACCAACATGTTTTGCTAGTGATAAAATCTCGCGATCACCATAAGGCCCCTTTTCCGACTAATGTGGTTATCGTTGCTACATTAGGGACTCGTTTGAAAAGAACGCTAAGTAAAGAAAGTGACGCCATTTGCAGTGATCGACTGCCGTAATTGCGCAGGTACCTGATATTAAGGACTCAAACAGCTCGGACAATTAATTCAATTCTAGTTGACCGGTTCGTCTGCAAAGCTGCCCTACCCCGCCCAAGCGCACTCAAACTGTGACTAGCTAATGATCAATCACAAGACCCTAGGTTCAGAAAAATGCTTAAACTAATACTTGAAGAAAGCAACGGGGGCTGCCAGAACTCCATACGAGTGGAGATTTTCATTAAAAAAAAAGGTAACGCACGCTGCGTAGTATTGCTTCGGCTAGGTTTATGCCGATACACACAGGTTACAACAAACGGGTCTTGTAACATTTCAGGGGTTCATTCTGTCGAGGATGGCTCGCGGCGACGTAGGTCTGAATCACATAACGATCGAAAATAATTGGATGGATGACCTATTGGTAATCGTTTGTGCTGCTTGTTGTGTAAGTAACATACCGACTTTTTTAATATATAATCATGTATAGGCGGTATTATATTTACTCGAGCGTTGTTAAGTTAGCGCCTTTTTGGCAGTATCAGTTTGGATGCCGTGAGGATTTTTCGAATAAAGGGCACAGTGTACCTATTGGATCGTTATAATAACAAAATTCGTTATTATGCCACAGTTACCGTGTTTGTCAGCTACATTGTATCGCGTTGCATTTGCAGACGATTCGATTCACCGACCTGTCCTACTATATATTTTTCGGAACTCATCAGTATGCTGCAAGTTAGTGTTCATCGCAAATCACAGTTATCTTGTATGTATGCCTGCTTGACTGGGCTAGGATTCATTTATCGACGGAGTGTTAATGGTTAGGCAGATGTAATCGCTGAATGATTCAAGCAGTAGGAGGAACAAAAGTCTTATTTTACGTATCAAAATAGGTATCGTTTAATTAACATTCCCACAGAGGTTGTATGATTCATTTGCTTCTATCGGCAACGAGCACTGGGTTTAATATAAGTCGGGTTTTTGTTTTGCTTTATCTAGTGACCGAGCTGGACATCAAGTTGGCTGTGGGTGACGACGTTATCATGGCCTGTCTTGCTATTACAATGTTTTCTTCGGTGGTCTTCGTAAGTGTGACTATGCCAGTGAATTTTAAAATCCGCCAATCGTTTTCGTTGCTCCTGTAAATATTGAATTAAACACAGCTACTTCAGCAAATCTGTAGCGCAAAGCTTTTTGCGCTACAGATTTGCTACTTGCGGAATCTGGCCGTCGCTGACCTTAAAGGATTGTGATTGGTTGATCGTATGCGAGACTGTTTAAACGTAGACCTTGGTATCGAACTCGAACCACTCATTCTTTAGAACAACTGCGTACAGCTATAGGATAAGAACAAGAATTATAGGTAAACAGAGATTCTTATAAATTGTACGGTTAATTTGTTTTTTTTTTTTGCTCGATTAGCCGTACAAGCGGTGGGCTGTCTTCTATTACTTTATGGGATTCGTATCACTCGGACTGCAATTGATTGCTCGAGACGGCCCCGATTTCCTACCGAAGGAACAATGGAAGATCGATTTCCTCGAAGAAGACATTCGACAGGTGAGATTGGACCAAGATCATTAATCTCTGTTGTATACTTGGTACTGTACAATGGGCAAAGGCGATGTAGCACTTCGTACCCTAGATGAATGTGTGCATAGCTAATTCTAGAGCCCTATCTGTATCATATCTTGAAAGTTTTTGAAGATCTCGCCTGTTCGTACCGACGCATTTGTGTATGATAGTGCATTATTGGCTGCCCCAACGCATTGATGAACGAACTAATTGATTACAACCGATAAAATGGTGACTTTTGAGACTTCACGACACAAAGCCTGCCTGCTCTCAAATACTTTTAAGCCTCTAAGTTGTCATCATCACAATTTCACCTCTCACCTGCGTAGGTGTCCCTTAGGTCAGATGAGGCGAGACAGCCTTAAATAATTGTTTAATCCCTTTCAGTCAATATATTTCGTTTTTTATTGAACTGTGCGAACGAAGATAGAGTTGATTGCGTTTTACGCAGCTCTATCCAAACTCGTATCCAGCTGGCAAAGCGTGTTTATTTTTCGTTTACTATTTGCTCGCATTTTACTCGTCTGTAACTTTCATAACGGTAAGATGAAAACTCTCGGACTGTCAAGAAATTTTAGCTCCACCCAGTATAATTTATCAATAGCGCTAATGGGGTACTTTATCTATTGAATTTGTGCTATAGGGCTATATCGTAGCGGCTACATCCATCGATGTCGTTGGCAATTCTCGAACAGCGATGAAATACACAATTATTGCAACACAGGTAATGTTTTAGCTGCTGATACAACAACGTAACTGAAGGCGTTGCAGAGCGACTCGTTGGTATCAACATCGAAGGTTCGATATATAGATAAAGACTTGTTGACGAAGACTTTCGCAGATGCTAACTCACGCTCTGTGCGTTCTGTTACTAACTTTAGAACTGTTTGGTAAAAAAAAAAAAAAGCGTGGCCTGCGTTTCTTGGCGCTGTTTTTTTATAAATAAGGAATGGCTGAGTATACTTGTTCGTCTTTACAGTGAACTAAGCTTGCGCGACGCAAACGATTCAAATCTCATTAAGTGAAACCTACCCGCCTATGATTTGCAGGTAATTTTCCAACTGATTGTCTCGGTCTTCGTGTTCGGAAAACGTGGCCTTCCTATGTAAGCTATAACACCAATCAAAATAGAATATTTCGCATATTGAACATAATAAAGCTTCAAGCATATGCTCAGTAACTGTATACATGAAGTGTTTATATTATAAAATGAGCCACGTCCAATTTATTGAGTTGACAGTCTTAGCTAAATACGAATGGCCTAATCGTAAGCATTTACTATCACTGCACACAGACGTTGTTTAAAAGGACCCAGCATTGCCTGAGTTGGATGTATCCTTACTAAGCGTAGCGAAACGAAGCCGTTACCCATTACGCGTAAAAGCGTAGTGGATAACGTGTTCGCCTGCTAAACTTAAGGGCAGATGGTGGCCTAGTATCAAATCCGAACGTAAATAATTCATTTTGTGCTGGGAGCCGGCCTTAAGTACCTAGACGTAAAACACGGAAAACATTTTTTTACCAAGTGAACTTAACAGGCCTGCATTCAGATGTGTCAGCGAAAAACTTTTTGACCATAGAGTATTTTTCAAAACACTGTTTTAGCTTATTGCATATTTTTATCTATACTTCTTGCAGCAGCGTCCTATAAATTCTTATTCTGCTGTATCATGGCCACTCGCATAAGACTAGTTAGCACATAGGTAAGCTAATTTCAGCCTTCTTGGTTCGTGGGTTACTGGGTCTGCCATATGGGTCACAGGCATATTGGTCTCTCATGACCTGAACTAAAAAAAATTGAACTAATAAACTCCTCAGTAATTGTCCTTCAGATATGACACTGAATGTTTGTATTTTCTTGCAGCCAACGCGACATATACCGCCAGGCTGGCTCTTGTACAAAAGCTTTGACATAATCTGCCATTGAAATGAATATGTATGGACGGCGTCAAACAACTAAGACTAGCCCATTAAGCTTTCATCTACATTTTACTGTGATGCTACTTTTAATAGCTAACTGATCTTTTCTATTGAACTATTTATATTTCTATCAGTGTCTTTCGGCCACACACCCTTTCATCAAAAGCGCGCTATCTTTATTCCCTGACACGCATATCATACCCGATAATTAGCAGCAGTACCTCCTTATTAGATACATACGTGCTTGTATATTCCCAAATTTTTCTCCCTTCGTCCATACTTTCAGCAAAATTAAGTTTTTAAGGAGGCGAGCAGAAGGTCCCACACGAAGGGCTCTAGTAGTACTGCCAGTAGCAGGAATAATGGTACATGACCGCGTCAGTAGCCTGTGGTTTTTATGGTGTGCCCAGCTCCGAACTCAAAACGAATCTTTGTTTCTTCCTGCTACGGCTTTACCTGTCCATCGCTTAGATGATGCGCTGCAATAGTTTCAACATTGACGCCTTTGTCGCGTTCCCCTAGCCCTCCCTCCTTAGTCCATATGCTATGGTTACACGTATAAATTTTTGCATATTAATTAATTCACTTATTCTGAAAGCTATATATATATATATA